AGTGTTGTCTGACGGGCAGGTGTGTCTCTAGTGTTGTCTGACGGGCAGGTGTGTCTCTCGTGTTCTCTGACGGGCAGGTGTGTCTTTAGTGTTGTCTGGCGGGCAGGTGTGTCTCTAGTGTTGTCTGGTGGGCAGGTGTGTCTCTAGTGTTGTCTGGTGGGCAGGTGTGTCTCTAGTGTTGTCTGGCGGGCAGGTGTGTCTCTAGTGTTGTCTGGCGGGCAGGTGTGTCTCTAGTGTTGTCTGGTGGGCAGGTGTGTCTCTAGTGTTGTCTGGTGGGCAGGTGTGTCTCTAGTGTTGTCTGGTGGGCAGGTGTGTCTCTAGTGTTGTCTGGTGGGCAGGTGTGTCTCTAGTGTTGTCTGGGGGGCAGGGTGTCTCTAGTGTTGTCTGGTGGGCAGGTGTGTCTCTAGTGTGTCTGGTGGGCAGGTGTGTCTCTAGTGTTGTCTGGCATGCAGTGTGTGTCTCTAGTGTTGCCTGGTGGGCAGGTGTGTCTCTAGTGTTGTCTGAGGGCAGGTGTGTCTCTAGTGTTGTCTGGCGGGCAGGTGTGTCTCTAGTGTTGTCTGGCGGACGGTGTGTTTGTTCTAGTGTTGTCTGGCGGACAGCAGTGTCTCTAGGGCTGTCTGACAGGACACATTTGCAGGGTGCTGCCATGCAAGGAGGGCCGCAGTTGAGGGCTGAGGGCAACAGTTGAGGGCTGAGGGCAACAGTTGAGAGCTGAGGACAGCAGTTGAGGGCTGAGGACAGCAGTTGAGTGCTGAAGACAGCAGTTGAGGGCTGAGGACAGCAGTTGAGGGCTGAGGACAGCAGTTGAGTGCTGAAGACAGCAGTTGAGGGCTGAGGGCAGCAGTTGAGTGCTGAAGACAGCAGTTGAGGGCTGAGGACAGCAGTTGAGGGCTGAGGACAGCAGTTGAGGGCTGAGGACAGCAGTTGAGTGCTGAGGACAGCAGTTGAGGGCTGAGGACAGCAGTTGAGGGCTGAGGACAGCAGTTGAGGGCTAAGGACAGCAGTTGAGGGGTGAGGCAGCACAGTGAGTGCCCGTCGTGTGGAGCAAGGCAGGGGGCGCCGGGGCCCATTACCAGCAGGAAGTCCGGACACTAACAATGGCGACCGTCAAGGAGACCAACATATTGTAAGACAATCTCCTGTTTCCAATTTTATTCTAGTTTTTGTTAAGTGCTCCCGGGATCTTATCTGTTTTCGTAATCTTGATTGTACCCGTGATGGGATTGTTCCCGTGATGGGATTGTTCCCGTGATGGGATTGTTCCCGTGATGGGATTGTTCCCGTGATGGGATTGTTCCCGTGATGGGATTGTTCCCGTGATGGGATTGTACCCGTGATGGGATTGTACCCGTGATGGGATTGTACCCGTGATGGGATTGTACCCGTGATGGGATTGTACCCGTGATGGGATTGTACCGGATGGGATTGTACCCGTGATGGGATTGTTCCCGTGATGGGATTGTCCCGTGATGGATTGTACCTGTGATGGGATTGTACCCGTGATGGGATTGTTCCCGTGGATGGGATTGTCCGTGATGGGTGTACCCGTGATGGGATTGTACCCGTGAGGGGATTGTACCCGTGATGGGATGGTACCGTGATGGGATTGTACCCGTGATGGGATGTGTACCGTGATGGGATTGTACCCGTGATGGGATTGTACCCGTGAGGGGATTGTACCCGTGATGGGATTGTACCCGTGATGGTATTGTACCCGTGATGGGATTGTACCACCTGTGATGGGATTGTACCCGTGATGGTATTGTACCCGTGATGGGATTGTGCCCGTGATGGGATTGTACCCGTGATGGGATTGTACCCGTGATGGGATTGTACCCGTGATGGGATTGTACCCGTGATGGGATTGTACCCGTGATGGGATTGTACCCGTGATGGGATTGTACCCGTGATCGTGATGGGCCCCATGATGGTATTGTACCCGTGATGGGATTGTACTCGTGATGGGATTGTACCCGTGATGGGATTGTACCCGTGATGGGATTATACCCGTGATGGGATTGTACCCGCGATGGGATTGTACCCGTGATGGGATTGTGCCCGTGATGGGATTGTACTCGTGATGGGATTGTACCCGTGATGGGATTGTACCCGTGATGGGATTGTACCCGTGATGGGATTATACCCGTGATGGGATTGTACCCGCGATGGGATTGTACCCGTGATGGGATTGTGCCCGTGATGGGATTGTACTCGTGATGGGATTGTACCCGTGATGGGATTGTACCCGTGATGGTATTGTACCCGTGATGGGATTGTACTCGTGATGGGATTGTACCCGTGATGGGATTGTACCCGTGATGGGATTGTGCCCGTGATGGGATTGTACCCGTGATGGGATTGTACCCGTGATGGTATTGTACCCGTGATGGGATTGTACCCGTGATGGGATTGTACCCGTGATGGGATTGTACCCGTGATGGGATTGTACCCGTGATAGGATTGTACCCGTGATGGTATTGTACCCGTGATGGGATTGTACTCGTGATGGGATTGTACCCGTGATGGGATTGTACCCGTGATGGGATTATACCCGTGATGGGATTGTACCCGCGATGGGATTGTACCCGTGATGGGATTGTACCCGTGATGGGATTGTTCCCGTGATGGGATTGTTCCCGTGATGGGATTGTGCCCGTGATGGGATTGTACCCGTGATGGGATTGTACCCGTGATGGGATTGTACCCGTGATGGGATTGTACCCGTGATGGGATTGTACCCGTGATGGGATTGTACCCGTGATGGGATTGTACCCGTGATGGTATTATACCCGTGATGGGATTGTACCCGTGATGGGATTGTACCCATGATGGTATTATACTTGTGATGGGATTGTACCCGTGATGGGATTGTACCCGTGATGGTATTATACTTGTGATGGGATTGTACCCGTGATGGGATTGTGCCCGTGATGGGATTGTGCCCGTGATGGGATTGTGCCCGTGATGGGATTGTGCCCGTGATGGGATTGTACCCGTGATGGGATTGAACCCGTGATGGGATTGTACCCGTGATGGGATTGTACCCGTGATGGTATTATACCCGTGATGGGATTGTACCCGTGATGGTATTATACCCGTGATGGGATTGTACCCGTGATGGGATTGTACCCATGATGGTATTATACTTGTGATGGGATTGTACCCGTGATGGGATTGTACCCGTGATGGTATTATACTTGTGATGGGATTGTACCCGTGATAGGATTAGTTTGGTATTTCTGAGGCCACCGGGAAGACATCAGTGGGGCCGAAACTGTAGGCACTGTTATGTAAGGTTTACATGTTAGGTTTACATGCCGCCCCCGACCACTGCCACAGGTCATCACTGCTTGCTCAGGACCCCCAGCACCTACTGCAGTGTGTGACTGACAGAGAGAGTGATAGATAGATAGATCCGGACACGCACACACCCTTGTGAGGGTGCGAGATTTGGGTGACATGAGTGCGGGGACTCACCAAGAGGAGGAGGGACGGGTGAGGGGGGAGGCAAGGATGGATGATAGGGGAATAACACCACCATTACCCGACCTGTTAACTCAGTGAGGCCGGAAGCTTAACTCGTAAACCAGCGGCACTCTATAACTTCCTCAGTCGACGCGTCCAAGTTACCCGGAATTCATTCTTAGCCGCCAGGAGGTCGGTCGCTGGCTTAGAAGGACCTACTGGTGTCCAGTTTTGTCCGTAACTCTTCCATTTTAGGTTGTGTCGGCGGTGAGACCCAAGTGCGCAACTTCCTGTGCTTGTCGAGGTTGCATTTGAGCTCTTCGGTCCCGTGCCTTTACCCGCAGTTGTCTGGCGAACGGAACCTTGTGGGCTATATTATATTTAGCTTTTGATCAGTGTGCATGGTCTCCATCACACGACTCTCTGGTCCTGTGTTATGTCCGTCAGCTAGAGTGAGAGTTGAGCAGACGCTACCTGGCCACCAGCCTCCCCTAGTGCCTCACGCCTGCCCTCTCACACCTGTGCCTCACCTGTCGTGTCACACCTGAGTCACACTCAGTTCACCAGAGCACATCTGTCATGCCACACCCGCCGCGTCACACATCTGTCGTGCCACACCCGCCGCGTCACACATCTGTTGTGCCACACCCGTCGCTTCTTCGCAGACTGGAAGTGAAGGGAGAGAAGCCTCGGGGCAGGTGTGTGCGTGGACCTCATCGCTGCTCCGCGGACCAGTAACGCCGGCGGCGGCCACCGAGGGAGCACAAGTACCCGTCACGACCCGGAGTGCCGTTTGGGCTTCTTTACTATGGTTGTGGAGTGTCTACGTCCTTCTGCCACTTTGATTCGTCTATTTTATTCCCGGCAATGTATGGTATCATTTTCCCTATGCACTTTCTTGAGGTTATCTTGAGATGATTTTGGGGCTTAGTGTACCCGCGGCCCGGTCCTTGACCAGGCCTCCATTCCTAGAAAGCAGCCCGTGAAAGCTGACTAACTCCCAGGAACCTATTTACTGCTAAAACAATATTGCCAACAGCATTTGGTGTTCCCAGGCGGTCACCCATTCAAGTACTAACCAAACCCAACGTTGCTTAACTTCGTTGGTCGGACGAGAAGCGGTGTTCTCGACGTATATCATACTATAAGTATTAAATATATATATATATATATATATATATATATATATATATATATATATATATATATATATATATATATATATATATATATATATATATATATATATATATAATATATATATATATATATATATATATATATATATATATATAAATATATAAATATATATGTATATATGATATCATACTATATGATATTATATAATCCAAGTATTGATTGGTCCCACATATCCTATGTCCTGATTGGCACCACATTTACAATGTAAAGATTAATACCACATTTTCCCTCCAGGTAATGATGGACAAAATTAGGAACTCCAAAATTACACAACATTACCCAGATAATATTTCCCGAGGACGACCAGACGAGTCCACTAGCATGAGAGCGCTTACCTGGTACTGGTGTGGGTCTCCCTCCTCGGCCCTGCAACACAAACGATATATTTATTAATATATTTAATATATTTTATATTGTTATTATAAGGATTTGAGGAGGATGAGGGGGAGGACATACTGGAAGAGGACGTACTGGAAGAGGACGTACTGGAAGAGGAGGACATACTGGATCAGGAGGACGTACTGAAAAAGAAGGACATACTGGAAGAGGAGGACATCCTGGAAGAGTAGGACAACCTGGAAGAGGAGGACATACTGGATCAGGAGGACATACTGGATCAGGAGGACATACTGGAAGAGGAGGACATACTGGAAGAGGAGGACATACTGGATCAGGAGGACATACTGGAAGAGGAGGACATACTGGAAGAGAAGGACATACTGGAAGAGGAGGACATACTGGAAGAGAAGGACATACTGGAAGAGGAGGACATACTGGAAGAGGAGGACATACTGGATCAGGAGGACACACTGGAAGAGAAGGACATACTGGAAGAGGAGGACATACTGGAAGAGGAGGACATACTGGAAGAGGAGGACATACTGGAAGAGGAGGACATACTGGATCAGGAGGACATACTGGAAGAGAAGGACATACTGGAAGAGAAGGACATACTGGAAGAGGAGGACATACTGGAAGAGGAGGACATACTGGATCAGGAGGACATACTGGAAGAGAAGGACATCCTGGAAGAGGAGGACATACTGGAAGAGAAGGACATACTGGAAGAGGAGGACATACTGGAAGAGAAGGACATCCTGGAAGAGGAGGACATACTGGATCAGGAGGACATACTGGAAGAGGAGGACATACTGGAAGAGGAGGACATACTGGAAGAGGAGGACATACTGGATCAGGAGGACATACTGGAAGAGAAGGACATCCTGGAAGAGGAGGACATACTGGAAGAGGAGGACATACTGGATCAGGAGGACATACTGGAAGAGGAGGACATACTGGAAGAGGAGGACATACTGGATCAGGAGGACATACTGGAAGAGGAGGACATACTGGAAGAGGAGGACATACTGGAAGAGAAGGACATACTGGAAGAGAAGGACATACTGGAAGAGAAGGACATACTGGAAGAGGAGGACATACGGGAGGAGGAGGATATATTAGATCAGGAGGACATACTGGAAGAGGAGGACATACTGGAAGAGGAGGACATACTGGATCAGGAGGACATACTGGAAGAGGAGGACATACTGGAAGGGGAGAACATACTGGAAGAGGACATACTGGAAGGGGAGGACGTACTGGAAGAGGACATACTGGAAGGGGAGAACATACTGGAAGAGGACATACTGGAAGGGGAGAACATACTGGAAGGGGAGAACATACTGGAAGAGGACATACTGGAAGGGGAGAACATACTGGAAGAGGACATACTGGAAGGAGAGGACATACTGGAAGGGGAGAACATACTGGAAGAGGACATACTGGAAGGGGAGAACATACTGGAAGAGGACATACTGGAAGGAGAGGACATACTGGAAGGGGACATACTGGAAGAGAAGGACATACTGGAAGAGGACATACTGGAAGAGGACATACTGGAAGGAGAGGACATACTGGAAGGAGAGGACATACTGGAAGGGGAGAACATACTGGAAGAGGACATACTGGAAGGGGAGAACATACTGGAAGAGGACATACTGGACATACGAGCGTAAAGCGACGTAACTTGTAAGAGGACGGGTTGCGGGACAAACCGGATTTGGGTCATTCTGTTCACGAGACTATTCGACGAAGTTCGTTTTCTGTTTATAATTAATTACGGTTTAATGAATATGATTTGTTAACCCGTATATGTTGTTAGGCTGTACTGTGTTAGGTTAGGTTAGGCTGTACTGTGTTAGGTTAGGTTAGGCTGTACTGTGTTAGGTTAGGTTAGGCTGTACTGTGTTAGGTTAGGTTAGGCTGTACTGTGTTAGGTTAGGTTAGGCTGTACTGTGTTAGGTTAGGTTAGGCTGTACTGTGTTAGGTTAGGTTAGGCTAGGTTGGTTTGGGTTAAGTTGGTTTGGGTTAGGTTAGGTTAAGTAGGTCTCAAAATCCGTTGGCGAATCACCTTGTGTCTGAAATTGACAAACACGATGCGCTGAGGCCACAGGCGTCTGGTATTCATCTATGGACATCCATATATAGTGAAACATTCGTGAAGACTCTCATTCACACTCACAGCTCCCTGACTAGAGAGGGCAAGCTTATCTTAGCTGCCAACACCCACAGTGTCAGCAAGGCGAACAGCCCGCCTCCTATCATAACTCGACTCACATTAATGGTACTATGTAAAAGACAACTCGAACACTGTTTACGTAGGACAGACGTAAGTCTGTGTAAATAGGTTAGGTTAGCATTTTAAAAGCACTACAATCACCTGTGGTTGATTGTTCAATAAATCACTGAACTATATGTTTACAGATCTCTAACCCTGTCTATGGAGGACAGAAGAAAATGTAGATATGCTGGTTAGCATTGTAAATGTGTGGCCACCTCTGGGGTAGAAAATAACAATAATACAAAAAACATATTTCACAACCTTTTCCCTTCGCATGTGTCTCTCCATCCTCTTTACTCAAAAAGAAAGGGGGGTTCATCTAGCATATACCAGTCCACCCTTCGGTCTCCATCATGGCCTGAAGGGGGCGACGAACCAATCTTCTGACTAAGGGTCGGTGGCTGGCCGAGGCAGACACCCAAGTGGCACTCAGAAGCGAGGAATGTTGCTAAAACACACATCCAACAGCCTAGTTGACCAGTCCAGCAACGAGGAGGCCTGGTCGAGGACCGGGCCGCGGGGACGTTGAACCCCGAAATCATCGCAGGGTAAGGTAAGCACTACACATTCACACTGTGATGATGAGCTAGATATTAACTTAAATACCAACTGCTAACACAAGATCTGTTGCAAATGTGTAAACATTACACAGGTTCCAGAGGTGACTGTGTCTGGTTCTGGATGATAAAATCTTCGGTTAGTCTCGCTTAACAGTGAAGTCGTTTACACATTAATATTTCTTATTAGAATATTGAGGTGAAGGAGCGTGTAGTGTGGAGGTGGCAGCAAGTCCCCCACAGTATGTCCCCGCTCTTGTGGTCTCCTGAGACCGCTCCTCACTCACTGCCAGGGAGTGAAGACGTGGCACTGTTGAGGCTCCAGCTGGCTGTTGAGGCCCCAGCTGGCTGTTGAGGCTCCAGCTGGCTGTTGAGGCCCCAGCTGGCTGTTGAGGCTCCAGCTGGCTGTTGAGGCTCCATCTGGCTGTTGAGGCTCCATCTGGCTGTTGATGCTCCATCTGGCTGTTGAGGCTCCATCTGGCTGTTGAGGCTCCATCTGGCTGTTGAGGCTCCAGCCGGCTATTGAGGCTCCATCTGGCTGTTGAGGCTCCAGCTGGCTGTTGAGGCTCCATCTGGCTGTTGAGGCTCCAGCTGGCTGTTGAGGCTCCACCTGGCTGTTGAGGCTCCATCTGGCTGTTGAGGCTCCACCTGGCTGTTGAGGCTCCATCTGGCTGTTGAGGCTCCAGCTGGCTGTTGAGGCTCCAGCTGGCTGTTGAGGCTCCATCTGGCTGTTGAGGCTCCAGCTGGCTGTTGAGGCTCCAGCTGGCTGTTGAGGCTCCAGCTGGTCGCATGAAAGCCAGCAAGTAGTGAAGGACCTTTTTTGTAGCCACGTTTGAACCCACAAAGATGGCTGACCAGTTTACAAGACAGTTTAGGATTGCCTTTGTGCCCTGAATTGTAGATATTTTCATGCAACATCAATCCAGTCATTTGAGCTGATAACTTGTGTAAAGAAACATGTTATGCCCTTGCACGGAGGCGACACGGCGAGTAGTGAAGGTGCTGGCGCTCCCTGCAGGTAATGTATCACTGTGAGTGAAGGTGCTGGCGCTCCCTGCAGGTAATGTATCACTGTGAGTGAAGTGCTGGTGCTCCCTGCAGGTAATGTATCACTGTGAGTGAAGTGCTGGTGCTCCCTGCAGGTAATGTATCACTGTGAGTGAAGTGCTGGTGCTCCCTGCAGGTAATGTATCACTGTGAGTGAAGGTGCTGGCGCTCCCTGCAGGTAATGTATCACTGTGAGTGAAGGTGCTGGCGCTCCCTGCAGGTAATGTATCACTGTGAGTGAAGGTGCTGGTGCTCCCTGCAGGTAATGTATCACTGTGAGTGAAGTGCTGGTGCTCCCTGCAGGTAATGTATCACTGTGAGTGAAGGTGCTGGTGCTCCCTGCAGGTAATGTACCACTGTGAGTGAAGGTGCTGGTGCTCCCTGCAGGTAATGTATGTATCACTGTGAGTGAAGGTGCTGGTGCTCCCTGCAGGTAATGTATCACTGTGAGTGAAGGTGCTGGTGCTCCCTGCAGGTAATGTACCACTGTGAGTGAAGGTGCTGGTGCTCCCTGCAGGTAATGTACCACTGTGAGTGAAGGTGCTGGTGCTCCCTGCAGGTAATGTACCACTGTGAGTGAAGTGCTGGTGCTCCCTGCAGGTAATGTATCACTGTGAGTGAAGGTGCTGGCGCTCCCTGCAGGTAATGTATCACTGTGAGTGAAGGTGCTGGCGCTCCCTGCAGGTAATGTATCACTGTGAGTGAAGTGCTGGCGCTCCCTGCAGGTAATGTATCACTGTGAGTGAAGGTGCTGGCGCTCCCTGCAGGTAATGTACCACTGTGAGTGAAGTGCTGGTGCTCCCTGCAGGTAATGTATCACTGTGAGTGAAGGTGCTGGCGCTCCCTGCAGGTAATGTATCACTGTGAGTGAAGGTGATACATTACATTACAACCTGAGGAGTGTGAGTGTAAGTGTGTGTACAACCTGAGAGCTGAGAGTAGTACCTCGACCTTCACTACTTCACTATAACCGGCGCGGTGCGGGGCCTCGCCACCGCTCACCTCCTAAAGAAGAGCTCAGGAGGGCCGGATGCGTCATAACTAAGGAAGAGCTCAGGAGGGCCGGATGGGGTATAACTCGCCTTTATTACTCATACCCCTTAATCTACGCCGCTAAAAGTGAAGTGTTTATGTTTACCCGA